TGAGACGGGGACAGAACAGAAAGCCCTACTAAGCAGGTATATGCAAAAGTATGAAGGCTATTGCTTAACACATTGTAAGCCGCCCTGAGTCTCCGGAGAAGGGCGGCATATAAATTGAACAATAAATAAATAAATAAATAAAAATCATATTGGTGATCCGCGGGGTTTAAAATTATGAATTTAGTGATCCCTGAGGTCCGAAAGGTTGGCGACCCTCCCGCCGAAGCAGAAGACCCCACACCAGAGGTGGGTTTCAGCAGGTTCTGACCAGTTCTAGAGAACCGGTAGCGGAAATTTTGAGTAGTTTGGAGAACCGGTAGTAAAAATTCTGATTGGCCCCGCCCCCATCTATTCTCTGCCTCCGGAGTCCCAGCTGATCAGGAGGAAATGGGGATTTTGCAGTAACCTTCCCCTGCAGTGGGGAAGGAATGGAGATTTTGCAGTATCCTTCCCCTGGAGAGGGGTGGGAATTGAGAGGGGTGGGAATGGAGATTTTACAGTATCCTTCCCCCTGGAGAGGGGTGGGAATGGAGATTTTACAGTATCCTTCTCCCTGGAGAGGGGAGGGAATGGAGATTTTACAGTATCCTTCCCCTGCCATGCCCACCAAGCCACGGCCACCAAGCCACACCCACAGAACCGGTAGTAAAAAAAATTTGAAACCCACCACTGCCCCAGACCATTTCTGACAGATGGCAGTCCAGTCTCTTCTTGAAAGCTTCCAGTGACGAAGCTCCCATAACGTCCGAAGGCAACTTCTCTTCCATTGAATAACAAGAGTGGGAAGGGACCTTGGAGGTCATCTAGTCCAACCCCCTCCCTAAGCAAGGAGACCCTACACCATTTCTGACCGATGGCAGTCCAGTCTCTTCTTGAAAGCCTTCAGGGATGAAGTTCCCACAACTTCTGAAGGCAACTTCTGTTCCATGGGTTGATTGTTTCTCACTGTCAGGAAATTTCTCCTTATTTCCAGGTTGAATCTCTCTTGATCAGTTTCCATCCATGGTTCCTTGTCTGGCCTTCGTGTGCTTTGGAGAATAGCCTGACCCCCTTCCTCCTCTCTGGGGCAGCCCCTCAAATATTGGAAGATGCTCTCCTGTCTCCCCTGGTCCTTCTCTTCACTAGACCAGCCATGTCTTCTGTCCATCTATGGTTCATTCAGATGTCTTTCTTTCTTTCTTTCTTTCTTTCTTTCTTTCTTTCTTTCTTTCTTTTTCTTTCTTTCTTTCTTTCTTTCTTTCTTTCTTTCTTTCCCTCCCTTCCACCTTCCTTTCCTCCCTCCCTCCCTCCTTCCTTCCTTCCTTCCTTCCTTTTGCTTTGGAAAATAGCTTGACCCCCTTCCTCCTCTCTGGGGCAGCCCCTCAAATATTGGAAGATGCTCTCCTGTCTCCCCTGGTCCTTCTCTTCACTAGACCAGCCATGTCTTCTGTCCATCTATGGTTCATTCAGATGTCTTTCTTTCTTTCTTTCTTTCTTTCTTTCTTTCTTTCTTTCTTTCTCTTTCTTTCTTTCTTTCTTTCTTTCTTTCTTTCCCTCCCTTCCACCTTCCTTTCCTCCCTCCCTCCCTCCTTCCTTCCTTCCTTCCTTCCTTTTGCTTTGGAGAATAGCTTGGCCCTCTTCCTCCTCTCTGGGCAGCCCCTCAAATATTGGAAGATGCTCTCCTGTCTCCCCTGGTCCTTCTCTTCACTAGACCAGCCATGTCTTCTGTCCATCTATGGTTCATTCAGATGTCTTTCTTTCTTTTTTCTTTCTTTCTTTCTTTCTTTCTTTCTTCTTTCTTTCTTTCTTTCTTTCTTTCCCTCCTTCCTCCCTTCCTTTCCTCCCTCCCTCCCTCCTTCCTTCCTTCCTTCCTTCCTTTTGCTTTGGAGAATAGCTTGGCCCTCTTCCTCCTCTCTGGGGCAGCCCCTCAAATATTGGAAGATGCTCTCCTGTCTCCCCTGGTCCTTCTCTTCACTAGACCAGCCAGGCCCAGTTCCTGCAACCGTTCATCGTATGTTTGAGCCTCCGATCCCCTAATCATCCTGGTTGCTCTTCTCTGCACTTTTTCTAGAGCAGCGATGGCTAACCTTTTTGCCATTGCGTGCCAGGAAGGGGTGGGTGGGCGAGGTTCGCGTGCACGCGTCCCCACACCCATAATTCTATGCGCCCCACCCCGCACATGCACACGCAACCCCCCTCCCCCCGCTCCTGGCACGCAATGGCCCAGTAGGAACGTTTTTCTTTCTCACCTGGCTCCAGATTTATTTATTTATTTTATTTTATTTTATTAAATTTCTATACCGCCCTTCTCCCGAAGGACTCAGGGCGGTGAACAGCCAGAAGATAAAACACAGGAAATACAAAATCTAAAATAAATTAAAACAAATTAAATAATTTAGGCTGAATTTTAAAATACCCCATAATTAAACAGATTAAAAATTTATGTTTAAAATTTAAATTTAAAAGAGGAGATGATTTAGGCCAGGCCAGCTTGATGAAATAAAAACGTTTTAAGCGTGCGATGGAAGGTGCGAAGATCCGGGATCCTCCGTATCTCCGGGGGGAGCTCGTTCCAGATCGTAGGTGCCCCCACAGAGAAGGCTCTCCCTCTGGGAGCCACCAGCCGACATTGTTTGGCCGACGGCACCCGGAGGAGCCCCTCTCTATGGGAGCGTACTGGCCGGTGGGAGGCTATTGGTGGTAGCAGGCGGTCCCGTAAATAACCAGGTCCTAAGCCATGGAGTGCTTTAAAGGTAGTAACCAAAACCTTGAAGCGCACTCGGAAGACTAGAGATCCTCTCTATGCATCTGGGGAGGACGAAAACAGCCTTCCCCACCCTCTCGGAGCCCCTCCGGAGGCCCGAAATGGCTTGTTTTCCAATTTTCGGTTGGACAGGAAGTGACATTTTTTGCTCTCCCCAGCCTCCAGAGATTCCAAGAGAGGCTGAGAGCTGAGCTGGCATGCCAGGTGACATGACTCAGCGTGCCACCTGTGGCACGCGTGCCACAGGTTCGCCATCACGGTTCTAGGGTCTCAACAACTTTTTTATAGTGTGGGGACCAAAACTGGATGCAGTACTCCAGGTGCGGCCTTACTAAGGCTTACAAAATTGTGATTGCTTCCCAGACTGACAAGGCTTCACCGGATGGTTTGAACGCTAACCACATTCAAATTCCTTTCTCATCATGGAAAAGATCACCCCCTCCCCTGTTTCCAAAATTATTAATTAGTTTTCAAATTATTAGTTTCCAAAATTATTAATTAGTAATAATAAAATTAGTTTTTTATTATTAATAAAATGGCTGCACAGGTAATCCTCGACTTACAACCGTTCGCTTAGTGACCCGTTCAAAGTTAACAACGGCACTGAAAAAAGGATCGTTCTTCAGACTTAACGACCGTTGCAACATCCCACTGGGTCGCCTGATTTACATTCGGACGCTTGAGAACTGACTCGCATTTATGACGGTGGTAGTGTCCCGGGGTCACGTGATTTTACGACCTTCAGATAAGCAAAATCCATGGGGAAGCCGGATTCACTTAACGACCATGTCACTAAGTTTAACAGCTGCAGTGATTCGCTTAACAAATGTGGCAAGGAAAGTCGTAAAATGGGGCAAAGCTCACTTAACGCCCTTCTCGCTTAGCGACATAAATTTTGGGCTCGGTTGCGGTCATAAGTTGAGGACTACCTGCACAAAAGGAAATGAAAAAGATGCTTCCAATTGTTTTTCCTTTTATTTTATTTTTTCACATATTGGGCTAAGCATATGTGGTCTACAACATCCAGGTAGTCCTCGGTTTATGGCCACAATTGAGCCTAAAAACTCTTGTTGTTAAGTGAAATGTTAGTTAGGTGAGTTTTGCCTCATTTTACGACCTTTCTAGGCACAGTTGTTAAGTGAATCACTGCCGTTGGTAAATTAGCAACCTGGTTGTTAAGCGGATCTGGTCTTCCCCGTTGACTTTGCTGGCCAAAAGGTCGCAAAAAGGGATCACGTGACACCCCCCCCCCCCGGACACTGCAACCGTCATAAATATGAATCGTTTGCCAAGAGTCTTGAATTTTGATCATGCGACCATGGGGATGCTGCAATGGTCATAAGTGTGAAAAATGGTCGTTAAGTCCCTTTTTTCGGTGCCGTTGTAACTTTGAACGGTCCCTAAATGAACTGTTGTAAATCGAGGACTACTTGAACTCTCAATTGTTTTCTCTGGGGTGTTGTTATTTTTATTGTATTTTTAAAATTGATACCAGTAGCCCTCAACAAACCACAATTAAGATCAGAATTATTGTCTGTTTTACAACTGTCACACAAATTACGATAATGATGGGCAGGTTCCATTCTAGTCGTAATTTGAGGATTACATATATAGACAGTCCTTGATTTCCATCCACAATTAAGCCCCAAATTACTCTCGACAAGGAAGTGAGTTTTGCCACATTTTATGACCTTCTTGCCCTCGTTAAGTGAATTAATGAAGCGAATTAAGTGGCCTGACGAGGTGGCTCAGTGGCTAAGACACTGAGCTTGTCGATCAGAAAATTCGGCGGTTCGAATCCCTAGTACTGGCGTGAGAAGCGGGTTTGGACTAGATGACCTCTAAGGTTCCTTCCAACTTTTGTTACACTGAATCACCGCAATTGTTAAGTTAGTCACATGGTTGTTAAGTGAACCTGGCTTCCCCCATTGGCTTTGCTTGTCAGAGGGTCGCAAAAACGGATCACATGACTCCGGGGGTGGGGAGGCAGGCGGGGACACACACCGCAACGGTCATAAATATGAGTCAGTTGTCAAGGTTCCGAATGTAAAATCACGTGACCACGGGGATTGCTAGTGTGAAGAGCAGTCATAAGTTTCCTTTTTTTTTTTTTAGTGCCTTCGTCACCTAAAAGAAACTGTCGTAAGTCGAGGACTATCTGTGTAGTATCCAAGGCCATAGACTGGTTGCGTTTTGAGCTGTGATGGAGTCAGGCGTGAGGGATCAAATTGGATTATTCTTTTTTTTCTTTTCTTAGCAAAGGGTTGAAATCCACAAACTGCGTGAAGGTGAGAATCTCATTCTGGGCTTCAGCATTGGAGGTGGAATCGACCAGGATCCGGCTCAGAATCCCTTCTCGGAGGACAAGACGGACAAGGTTGGCATGGATCTCCCTTTACTGATAATATTTCTTTGATACGTTGGAGTCCATTTTGGAGATCGAGGTTCCGTTACCAATATTTCAGCTCAGGGGTTTACATTGAAAAATGTTTTGTTGAAGAATAAATATAAACTTGTGTGGGTTATAAGGAAAATATAAGGGGTGCAAGGGTTGAGGGAAGGTTTTTACAATATTTTTTTATAGATATTAAATAGTGAAGAGGGTATTTGACTACGTGTAGTGGATTTGTAGAGAATAAGATGAATAAGTTTATGGAAAGTTATTAAGTAAGGAATGCTTCCAGGAAGAATTAACATTAAGTGTATGGGGTAAAAAGTAAAGATAAGGTTCTTAACAATATATTTTATTTGAGATTGGTTCTAGAATTCACTGTTTCCTGGTGATTGGCCCACAGTCACCCAGCTGGCTTTCGTGCCTAATGTGGGACTAGAACTCACCATCACCTAGTTATTGGCCTAAAGTCACCCAGCCAGCCTTTATGCCTATGGCAGGACTAGAATTCACTGTTCCCTGGTGATTGGCCCACAGTCACCCAGCTGGCTTTCGTGCCTAATGTGGGACTAGAACTCACCATCACCTAGTTATTGGCCCACAGTCACCCAGCCAGCCTTTATGCCTATGGCCTCTGCCTTGCAAGCCAACAGCAAGAAGAAACAGCTCCTTTCAGCTTCAGCACAGCCTAATTAGCCCAAGTTGATTGGATCGGCCTCCCGACTCTCAGCTGTTTTGCTCTCAGCTGTTTTGCGCAGGGCTCTGCTGCTTGCTGCAAAGAGGTAAATTGCTGGAGCAGATTATTTTTTTTCCCCCTTGTGCTAATCAAGCTATGCTGAAAACGAAACTGAAAGTAAAGCAGGCTGTTTGCTGCAAAGGAGGCAAAATTGTTCAGAGGCAGGAGCAGAGGGAGATTTCTTTTTCTTCTTTTCCTCACCGAAAAAGGTAGGTGCGTCTTATACTCCGGTGCGTCTTATACTCTGAAAAATACGGTAAATAAATAAAATAGAACCTCCCGCATTGAACTCTTACCTACGTGGCTAACAATGGCTGGAGAAAAAAGGCAACAGGTTGTCAGTAAACGATGGCCGGGGGGGGAGGTGGGGGGCAGGTTCATGAGAGCTCATCCAGGCAGTGACCCCCCCCCTCTCACCTCGTTTCTCCCCCCCTCCCCCACTCCAGGGCATTTATGTCACACGCGTGACCGAAGGTGGACCTGCAGAAATGGCTGGATTACAAGTCGGGGACAAAATCATGCAGGTAAAATTCCGTATTGTTTAAGGACCAGCTGGACACTTCAGCTCCGCTCTTGGTGTCTTCAAAGCCAAATGGATGGAGATTTATTATTTATTTATTTATTGGTTCGATTTATATGCCGCCCTTCTCCGGAGACTCAGGGCGGCTTACAATGCGTTAAGCAACAGCCTTCATACTTTTGTATATACCTGCTTAGTAGGGCTTTCGGGCCCCCCCCCCAAGCGGTGTTCTTTTTTTTATACAAAGTCAGCTTATTGCCCCCCACAATCCGGGTCCTCATTTTACCTACCTCGAAAGGATGGAAGGCTGAATCAACTTTGAGCCTGGTGAGATTCGAACTTGCAGTAATTGCAGGCAGCTGGTGTTACTTAACAGCGCTTAAGTCTGCTGCGCCACCAAGGTTCTGTTATTATTCCAGAATCCCAAAAGTTAAGAGCCTTGGTAGTACAGGGGTTTAAGGCACCCTGTTATTAAGCTGGTTATTAAGACCAGCTGCCTGCAATTACTGCAGGGTTCGAATCTCGCCAAGGCTCAAGGTCGACTCAGCCTTTCATCCTTTCTAAGGTCGGTAAAATGAAGACCCAGATTTTTGGGGCAAGGTGCTGACTCTGTAAAACGCTTAGAGAGGACTGCAAAGCACTGTGAAGTGGTATATAAGTCTAAGGGTTAGTGCTATTGGCTCAGCCTTGCAGTCTAAGTGCTATTGCTTAGGAAGGAAAGGAAGGAAGGAAGGAAGGAAGGAAGGAAGGAAGGAAGGAAGGAAGGAAGGAAGGAAGGAAGGAAGAGCCTTGGTAGTACAATAACCCTGTTATTAAGACCAGATGCCTGCAATTACTCCAGGTTCGAATCTCGCCAGGCTCAAGGTTGACTCAGCCTTCCATCCTTTCTAAGGTAGGTAAATTGAGGACCCAGTTTGTGGGGGCAATAAGCTGACTTTGTATAAATATACAAAAGTATGAAGGCTATTGCTTAGAGCATTGTAAGCCGCCCTGAGTCTTCGGAGAAGGGCGGCATATAAATCAAATTTTTTAAAAAAAAAAAAGTGCTTTTTTCAAGAGGCACCTGAACTGTCTTGTTTTTTTCTTTTGAAGACATTTCGCTTCTTATCCGAGAAGCTTCTTCAGCTCTGACTGGATGGTGAGGAACGGAAGGATTTATATTCCTTGCAAACAGCTGGTCATTTGCATACTTTTAGAGAGTCGTTGAGGCTACTTGGAGGTTTATCTGTGTCCTCAGGGAAAGCTGAGTGGTGTCAATGTATTCCTGTAGTCTGCAGTTTTTTTCCTCTGGAAATCCATTCCTACTCCCACACCCAAATTGTATAGTTTTAGTTTAGTTTAGTTTTATTGAATTTGTATACCGCCCTACTCCCGAAGGACTCAGGGCGGTGAACAGCCATGGAATAAAACAATATAAATACAAAATTTAAAAAAGAATAAAACGAATTAAATAATTTGGCCGAACGAATTTAAAACCCCAATGCTTTAAAACCAAATTTAAAATTTCCATTTAAAAAGGGGAAAGACTTAGGTCAGGCCAGCCTGATGAAACAAGACTATGAAGAACTCTTCTTCCAAAAGAACAATAAAGCAACAAACTATATTTAAATATAATTTAAATCCTGCATCAGCCAAGCTACGTCACCGGTTCGAGGGAAGTGAGCCTGCAGCTTACAGCTTTTAATCAATTGTGTTATTTTGAAAAAGGGATATTGGGACTTCTCCTGATCTTTGAATTTGATATAATAATAGTCTGTAGAGATTCTCAGTCCTCCGTGACATGATTGTCCCCAAAGGTGCTTTTTTCAGGAGGCAACTGGACTTTCTGGTTTTTTTCTTTTGAAGACGTTTCGCTTCTCATCCAAGAAGCTTCCTCAGCTCTGAGTGGATGGTGGGGAATGGATAAACCAGATAAACCTCCAAGTGGCCTCAACGACCCTCTAAAAGGATGCAAATGACCAGCTGCCTGCAAGGAGTCTCAATCCTTCCATTCCTCACCATCCAGTCAGAGCCGAAGAAGCTTCTTGGATGAGAAGCGAAATGTCTTCGAAAGAAAAACCAGAAAGTCCAATTGCCTCTTGGAAAAAAAAAAAGCAATTTATGCGGGTTGGAAAGGGACAGCGAAAGAGCCCCAGTGTTGTGGCTCCGTTACCTGAGCCTGTGTCATTGGCAGGAAAGGACTCTGAGAGTGAAGGAGAGGAGTTGGCAAGGCCTCCCTCTCCAGGACCCTCCTCTCTGGCAATGCTTTCGGTGTCCGCCGAAGGGCAAGAGATAGGGCTGGGGCCAAGCACGTCCACACAGCCACAGGTGGACAGTGATGAGGGTAATGAGTTTTGGCTGGATCCACGCCAGCGTCGCAGAGATAAGCGCGCACAACAGAAGAAAAGGCGTGCCCGAAATTAGGCTGAGTCACTGGACCACACCCCACAGGATATAAAAGGGAGCGTGGTGGCCAGTCAAACCTTGTGACGAACAAAGCTGAAAGCTTCCACGCCATTCTGCATTGCCGGACTTTTGCTATAAGACTTTGCTGGATTATCTCTGGACTTGATTGTAATTATTGAGCTTTCTTTTGATGTACCAGAAGTGGGCAGAAGTTATCTCTCCTCTTCGTAAATAATAAACTCTTGACAGGCAGCCACTAGGTTGTTGCCAAGTTCCGTTATCATAAGGAAAAGGATTTTGCCAGCTGGTTTGGTTTTAACTCTCGAACATCTGTTGATGTGTGTGCGTGTGGTTGGGGACAGAACACTCAGATGTGTGATCCGGGGACTGTAAAAATACCCGTGTTTGATCGTGACGTTTACCGTCAAACTCGCTCTGAATTCTTGCAGGTGAATGGCTGGGATATGACCATGGTGACTCACGACCAAGCCCGCAAGCGTCTGACCAAGCGGAACGAGGAAGTGGTCCGGCTGCTAGTGACCAGACACTCCCTGCAGAAAGCGGTCCAGCAGTCCATGCTGTCCCAACCCTGCCACTGAGCGGGGACGAGCGACGGGCCTCCAGGACACGGCGGAGAGATGTTGAAGATGGACCACAGAGCTTTATCACCTGTTGACCTGAGGAACTTAAAAAAAAAAAAAGACAGATGTCTCCTGACACACCTATGCAAAAAATGACTCTGTTCCAGCGGGGCGTCCCCGTAAAGGGCGCCTCTGGGGGCAGTTTGATGCCCACTGGATCAAAGACGGTGGGCATCAAACCGCAAACGAGAGGATAGCCTGGTTCTGATCCACTGGGAAACCAGCTAAGAGCTTTTCTCCCAGAAATCCTCCAGTGGGACGAGTCCGTTCTTAAATTTCCGTTTTTGTAAGGCGGCCATCTTGAGGGACAAGATGGCCGCCTAATGAGCTTCTTGCAGTCCTCTTAGCCAGACCAAAGTTTTTACTGCCGATATCTAGAATCCCGCACGGGTTTTGTGTTTAAGAGGCGTCCAACCGTTGGCTTGTCTCCTCAGAGACACCGAGAAGGCCATGATAGACGGGCATTTGAAACCGGTCCCCTCTTTCCAGAAGTCCTCAAATGAAGGCGATCAGTTTCAGTGGCCTTAAGCCTTTCGTTTGCCTGGACTTCCGCTCGGCCAGAATTCCTGTTAACCACGATCAGTCGGAAACAGGCCGACGTTAGCGACTCCCGTTGTGTCGGGAGGCCACGGTTTCCACCCTCGAGGGGTCTCTCAACTTTTCCAAAGTTAGCTTCCAATCTTGACTGTTGTGCCAAATTTCTCCCCCGAAGGCCTTTTTCTACGTCTTGTAAATAACGTCCCTTCCAACATTTATATCACTAATTTATTTTAGTATATTACTGCTATTTTGACTCGTGAGTGGTGTGGTGGCCTAGAGGTGTGAGCTCTTGCCTCACAATCAGGGGGCTGTGAGTTCGATCCTAGGTAGAGGCAGATATTTCTCTCTCTCGGCACAATAAGAATATGTCTGCCGAACAAAACTCTGCATTGGTGACAGGAAGGGCATCCGGCCATTAAAACACTCTGCTAGCTCCATTCAGTTGCCCAGATTCCACCCCGCAAGGGATTATGGGGTCATTAAAAAATGATGATGATGACTGCTATTTTGACTCGTTTAACTTCCGGGCCCTTAAATCTCGGCCTGTCTTGCAAGGAAAATGTGTCACAACCCTTCTATCTGTTTCTTATCCCTGTGGTTTGTCTTTTCGAAGCAGAAATGGCGGTGGGAAGGATGGTTGTTGTTTTTTTGACAAAGCCTTGTGGGGTTTTGTTTCGTTTTTTTTGGTATTGCCGGATCGCATCGGTTTAGTTCGGAGGTTAAAGCAACCAACAGGCTGCTGTAGATCGTTTTACACAAAATAAACCAAGCTGGACTTCTGATCTCAAAAGTCTCTTCCTTTTTTTAAAAAAAAGAAAGAAAAGAAATTAAGCTAGAAGCCTGGAGTCAATTAAAAAAAATTGCATATATGCCCAAGAAATGAATGAGGAATGAGAATGAGAAATTCGTTTGAAACGTTGTACAGGTACAAAAAGTCCTTGACTTACAACTGTTCGTTTAGTGACTCTCCAAAGTTACCACAGCACTGAAAAAAAGTGACCTATGACCATTTTTCACACTTAACGACCATTGCAGCATTACTGTGGCGCCGGCCATGTCATCAAAATTCAGATGCTTGGCAACTGACTTAAATATTTATCCTGGAATCGCGCAATCCCCTTTTGCGACCTTCTGATAAGCCAAGTCGATGGGGGAGCCAGATTCACGGAACAACCGTGTGACTGACGTCATAGCTGCGGTGATTGATTTAACAACCGTGGCAAGGAAGGTCGTAAAACGGGGCAAAACTCACTTAACAACTCTCTTGCTTAGCAACAGAAATTTGGGGCTCCATTGTGGTCGTATGTTTGGAGTGGTGCGGTGGCCTCACAATCAGGAGGCTGTGAGTTTGATCTTAGGTAGAGGCAGATATTTCTCTCTCTGGGCACAATAAGAATATATCTGCCGAACAAAACTCTGCACTGGCGACAGGAAAGGCATCCGGCCAGTAAACACTCAGCTCCATTCAGTTGCCCAGACTCCACCCAACAAAGGATTATGGGATCGTTAAAAGACGACGATTGTGGTCGTATGTTCCTTGACTTAAAAACCACAATACGGGATCAAGAGTTTCTGTTGCTAAGCCAGGCAGTAGTTAAGTGAGTGGCGACTGATTTTACGACCCTTTTACGACTCCCACTATCACTGACACGGCAAGCCACTGTCTAAAATCAGCAAACCCCTCTTCCTTCTAGCACTGATGATGTTACCTAGTTGGGTAATGAAACGTCTGCAAGAAAAATAACCAAGCTCCGAGAGCACTAAGGACCTCACAGTCCTCCACCTCCTCACCACAAACCTCCCTCCCTTCCATCACTGATGATGTTACTTAGACAGGTAATGAAACCAAGAAAACAACCAAGGTCAGAGAACACTAAGGAACCCCCAAATTGCAGCACCCTCCTCCTGAAAAGTAGCCCCCTCAGTTCAATTTAAATGGAGAAGGAGCAGATCCCCTTGTCTTCAATCCTGGTTAGATAAACAAGGTCTTACTGAAATCCAACCATAGGCCTGTCTGTTGTGGTCCACCAGCAGCCTGCGGAGCTGGCAGCGGAGTCGGACAGTGAGGAGGCCGGGGAGGACCATGGGCCAGTCCTGGAGTCTGGGGAAGCCCTGGATGAGGGCTCTGCATTGGAGGCAGAGATGGGGCCAGGGCCATCTGGGAGTGATGCGCGGACTCCGGAGCCTCCAGAGTCGGACAGCAGAGAGGCAGAGGAACAGGAGAGCCTGTTCCTAGTGCACGCATGCACAGAGCTGCCAGAAGGCAAGAGCAGCTAAAGCAAAAGGGACAACTTGGGAGTAAGGCCAGGAGATGATTGGCCCCTCCCATAAGGCTCAAAAGAGCAGCAAAGGCTCTTGGGCTCTTTGTAGGAAAGCAACATTGCTAAATCTGTTTCCAGTTGGTGTCTCGTTTCGGGACTTTGTGGGGCTTTGCCAAGAAAGGCCTTTGGCAGCGTGCCAAAGAAGATAAAGGTTTGTGATAAGCCCAAAGGACTTATTCTGAAAGACTTGTTTTGCAATTAATTTGGACTAAACTGGGAATGAAGTAAGTCTCACCTGTTACAATAAAATAGATTTGTTGGGGACTAATTGTGTCTTGTAATGACTAAGTGAGCCTAGGTCACAACAGTGTCATAGTTGCAGATGGGGCTCCGCGATCCCTTCCAGAGGGACCCACAATCTCCCTCGGGTGTCCTGAACCCCTTGAAACCTTGGCCAACCACAACAGGACTTTTGAAAGGAGCCTTCGTCAAGCAACCACAAGGAAGCCATCCACAACCTGTTAGAAAAGCTTTAATAATCACGACCCCTATATTCAGTCCTTTCACACAAAAGTTCTTACAAGAGATTTTTCAATGCATTGTTCCTTGACTCCAACGTAAAGCTTTTCGAGGTAGTCCAACATCCTCCAACCATTTCTCCCCGTGTGCAAGAGAAAGTGGGATCCAAAGTCACACAAGCTGTCTTCCAAGTTTAACCGATTTAAAGCTTCCGATGACAACCGTTTTTTCCTTTCCTTGTAACTAACCAAACTCCTAAAGCAGGTTCTTCCTGGCCAAGATGCCTTCAATGTAGGGTTCCTGTAAGAAATTGGAGGGCAAAACAAGAGCATCTCTGCTTCTCTTGCAAACGACGACTTCTTCGGAAGCTTTTGAGGACTTTGCATCCGAGAAAATCGGGAGGACGACTTTGACAAGGCCACACTGGTGGATTGAGAGGCGCAAAGGCGCAAGAGGGCCGAGTAGGTTTGGTGCAATTAAAGTGGCATGGAAACTCGAGTTGTACCAATTTTGCCAGTCCTGGTTTCTTTGGAGTAAGGCTTCTCAGTGCAATGGACGCACTCAGATAGGCTACTGATCTACTCAAACCCTTCGTAATTTTGGTGGCGATACAAGCAGTAATGTTGGATCATAAAGACAATGTCGAAGACGATGGAAAAGAGGCCGAGGCCAAATTTGGTGGGGTCTCCAAAAATCAGCTTCCATTCATCTGAAAAATAAGAAGAAAGAGACAGTGAAGGCTTACAAGAACCGGTAGGTTGACCGATAGAGACTAATAAATACTTGGAAAAGCATAAATAGATTTTTCCCGTTTATAATTCACAATGGAATGAAAAGTTTTTGGCATTTTACTGAAGAGTTTGTACAATTTTGTAAGAAAATTGCGCAGCAGGTATCTAAATGGAATCAGAGACGCTGACACGAACTCGTAGTTTTATATAGAAAAATATATTTTGCATCTATATACAGAAAACTAGATAGTCAGGCAAACAAGGGCATCCTGAGGTAAATCAACACAGGAGGAACATCCTGAGATAAATCAGCACAGCAGGAGCATCCTGAGGTAATTCTACACAACAGGAGCATCCTGAGGTAAATCAGCGCAGCAGGAGCATCCTGAGGTAAATCAGCGCAGCAGGAGCATCCTGAGGTAAATCAGCGCAGCAGGAGCATCCTGAGGTAAATCAGTACAGCAGGAGCATCCTGAGGTAAATCGACACAGCAGACACATTGTGAGATAAATCACAAAGCAATGGCACACAAAAGAAAAAGGTGGGGAAGAAAGGGAAACACCCCCTCCACAATCATAGCAACCAATCACAGCTCAGATTGAATCATGCAGGAGCCAGCACGCTCTGAACAATCAACCAAAACTGTTTACAACCACAAAAAAAAAGGTTGTAAAATTGGGCATGCCTTACTTAGTAATGTAATTTCTGGTCCTGACTACGGCCATAAATTAAGGACAATCTATCTATGCAGTGAATAGGGATTAAGGGTAGCTCTTGTTAGGCGCATACAGGTAGCCCTCGACTTACAACAGTTCATTTAGTGATCGTTCAAAGTTACAACGGCACTGAAAAATGCGACTTATGACCGTTTTTCACAGTTACAACCTTTGCAGCATCCCCCTGGTCACGTGATCGAAATTCAGACACTTGGCAACTGATTCATATTTATGACTGTTGTTGTGCCCCGGGGTCATGTGATCCCTTTCTGCAACCTTCTGACAAGCAAAGTCAATGGGGGAGCCAGATTCACTTAACAACTGTGTGACTCACTTAACAACTGTAGCAATTCACTTTAGAACTGTGGCAAAAAAAAAAGATGTAAAAAACTCACTTAACAAATGTCTCACTTCACAATAGAAAGTTTGGCCTCAGTTGTGGTCGTAAGTCAACTACCTGTAGTAGCCCTGCAAAGTACAGATAGTTCTCAACTTAAAACCATTCGTTTAGCGGCCGTTCAAACTACAACTTACAGCTGCCCTGGAAAAAGTCACTTATGAGCAGTTTTCATTAAGTGTTGTACCTTATGATTCTTGATGAATGTATCTTTTCTTTTATGTACACTGAGAGCGTATGCACCAAAGACAAATTCCTTGTGTGCCCAATCACACTTGGCCAATAAAAAATTCTATTCTATTCTATTCTATTCTATTCTATTCTATTCTATTCTATTCTATTCTATTCTATTCTATTCTATTCTATTCTAATTTCTATTCTATTTTCTATTCTGTTCTATCCTATTCTTCATTCCAATATTCTATTCTATTCTATTCTATTCTATTCTATTCTATTCTATTCTATTCTATTCTATTCTATTCTATTCTATCCTATCCTATCCTATCCTATCCTATCCTATCCTATCCTATCCTATCCTATCCTATCCTACCCTATCTTCTCACTTATGACCATTGCAGCATCCCCTTGGTCACATGATTAAAATCAGACAATTGGCAACTGGTTCGTATTTATGACGTGGAATTCCCCTGTGGAATTTCCAAGCATGATTAATCCATCCAAATAGTACAGATTGTCCTCAACTTACAACTGGAATTGAGAACAGAATTTCCATTGTTAAGCAAGGTGGTTGTTAAGTGAGTCAGTTGCAGTGTCCCGGAGGTCATAGGATCCCATTTTGCGACCTTCTCTGACAAGCCAAGTCCATGGGGGAGCCAAATTCACTGAACAGCCGTGTTACTAACTTAAAACAACTGCAGTGATTCACTTAAGAACGGTGGTAAGAAAGGTCGTAAAATGAGGCAAAACAAACTTAACTGCCTCTTAATAATAGAATTTTGGGCTCAATGATGGACATAAATCGAGGACTAGCTGTATGCCACCTTCTCCCACTGGTCTGACCCAACGGGCCAACTCTTACCGTTGTTGTAGGATTGTAGAAACATCTGAATGAGACTGAAGGCACCTCCGGTGAAGTCCAGCAGGACGTTGCCAATACTCCAGCCCATGGTGCTCTTCCGGCGGAAGTTTAGGTAGGCC